TCCTTTCTTCGGAGTTAGGGTTGGAGGAGGATTAAGAGGGCTATGCATGTAGACATCGGATAGTTGTCCATGCTGGCCAATAGCACAGGGGTCAATCAAAGGTGAGGCATTCCACTACCTTCACCGTGTAGATTCTAGTAGCTCTAAAACCCAGGAGTGGACTTTACCCGGATTGGTGACTCTTAATTTACTACCAGGTTATGGTGAATGCCAATCGATCAGCCAATGGGCAATCTAAGGACTGGCCCCAAAGTCGTGAAGAATTATTTACCATCAAAAACAGGATGCCAAAGCAGGTAGGGTAAATGCTTTCCGTGAGCTCTTAGATCGGCCAACGCTTTTGCTCATGCAGTTCGCCACAGGCTGGTCAGTACCAATCTTTTTTTTTTTTTTTAATCCCTTTCATTTCTTGCACAGGGGCTATGGTAGGGCTAGGCAGGTTGTTTAATGAATGCCTGCTGCTACTCATGCCCGTGAAGCTACTTTACACGCTTTGCCTTCGGCAGGTTAACCCTACCTGTCTACAGACGCAACCCATCTGATAGACCTAAGACATATGACGACCAGCAGTGAAGTCACCAAAAGACAAGACCAACGAACATGCAAGGCTGGGGTGGAGAAGTTCTTCTCTGCATTTCCTTGAAGACAAATCTCCACAATCTCGTGCTCCAATTGCAAATGTGAGGTGAGTTGTCTTCCTCTTCGGCGCAATCCTAGTTTCTCTTCTCCAGTCACTTTCGGCCTTGTATAAAAGAATCAAAACTAGATTATGTTTAGTGAATGAATCAGTTTCTCATTTGTATTTACTGGGGATCCGTATGAAATCACAGTTTCACGTTCGGTTCTGTTAAATTACGATTCAGACCCGTAAATGTGACCCCAACATAAAAGGGCCCTCTCGGCCAGAAATCAATTTCACAAGCAGCATTCCAAAAGACAAGTTCCCTGAGGCAAATGTCGCATCCAGTGTGAGATGAAAAGTCATTTTGAATAGTCACAGTCAGGTCCTAGACGAACAGGTACTGGGTTCAAATTTCAAGACTGAGATAGGGTCATGTCTGTTAGGCAATAAGTCGAAGGTCACAGTCCCAGACCAGTCACAGCCCCACGAGTCAATTCTGACTCAGACCAGGAGTCCAAAAGACAGGCCCGACGGCCAAAGCAGCAGCAGTCCGTGGGAAGGGTATTGGGACACACACTTTGCAACAACAGGTACTGGGCAGGAGTCCCAGGCACTTGGAGGCCGAAAGCAGACCTCGCCAGATCAATCCAGCGCTATAAAGGACTGGCCAGCCTCCCCATTCGGCGGATACTCATTCGCATGAGAGTGTGAAGTGCTGAAGGCACTTGTGCGCCAGACGTGATTGAGCAGCGCTAGGCTTGAGAGCTGCGCTGAAGGAAGAGAGAGTTGGGCGCTGGCTGGAAGGAAGGCAACCATAGCTGCGCCAGTACTAGTTAGTTTTAGTAGTAAGAATAGTCAGTAGAGAGAACCAGTGAGTAGTATTCAGAGTAGATCCTCGTGAGATAGGGAGTGTGCATGCATGGTGAGGGTGAGTAGACCAGGACTATAGACAGAAGGAGAGAAGAGAGAGACCAGGAGAGAAGAGAGAGAAGTGAGCTATGGTGTGACTTACCTGTGGAGCGCCGTCCTTGATGATTGGCAGCTGGCGCTGCTGAGCGCCAGGCCTTGAATTCTTGTTGGATGAAGAAAACTTGTAATTCTGTTGGGCGCTATACATTCTGAAATCGTGATTCTCTTTCTTTAATCTGGTTATGATAATTGAGCTACGCTTCCTGGTTTCCACTCATCTTCCATTGAACTTCGTGTGAGACAATGCAATCTGTGTGATCTGTGTGACATGCATGCTATCCGGTACACTCCAGCAAGTGATGAACGGACGGGTTCCTTGCACTGTAGTAGAGATCTTGAAAGATTATTTTTCTTCAAACATGCCGGCTACTCCCGTGTCCCGGTGTCCGTCCGAAGAGGTGACGAGGGTTTGCTCCGATACCAATTGCTTTGAGGCCAACCATGCACAACACCATTGACACACCAATCTCACATTGAGATGCACACACAAGAAACACATGCGAGACATGCTCTCTCTCTCTCTCTCTCTCTCTCTCTCTCTGTGCCAGCCCGCAATCTACCCTCAGCCTAGTGTTGCCACTGAATTCCTCTCATTGTGACTCAATCTCTCTCATTTTTGACCTAGCTATGGCTATGGGCGCCCACCGTTCCTACAGCAGCACCCAACAACGTATCCAAAAGTGTGTAGTTATATTTGTTGAATAATTCAACAACTGGACTTTTGCACCTCGCTTTTCGTTTCCGGACTTCCTCTAGCGGTTATGGGCCAGTCCCTCTGCTGATGCTCACCGCTTCTGGAGGTTCACAGTTTTTCTTCGGGATTTTGTGCTGACTGGACCGAGTGTACTAAAGGGCCTACCGACTTTTACCAACTTTTTCCTATGCCTACCGGTATCTACCAGCATCTACCTATGACGGCCTGTTATCCTACTAGCACTGGCCCTGACTTGGGGCATGAGAACATGGTATACTGGATGAGGCTGGGGGTGAAACTGGCACTTGGGACTGGCGCTGGGACTGGGACCAGGGTGGACCACTGTGAAATCCTGTCAATGGATGAACAATTAGTTCTAATGATGGAATCAGATATATACTCTCAATTAGTATCAATAATGTTAGTGGCCGACCAGGAAAAAAAAAGAATAAAAACTATAAATTTAGTAAAAAATGCTCCCGAATTTCGAAGGTCAACTTTCCCCAAAGCTGTTGGAGCCCGGAACTCAACAGATCAGAAACACTAAAGCTACCTAGCAATGGAACTATCAGTTTGGCTGGACTGCATTGATCAACCCATTTCGACTGACGGGCAGGCAGACCCTGCCGTGACCTGTCAACAATCTCACGACTTCGGGCTGCTTATCATCATATCGCAAGCTCACATTTCAGTGTACAACACACGTGCGATTCCATTCCACGTCGAGGTCTCGTGTATGTTCACATGCAGCTATGGCCACCACAATAAACCAGAAGGTAACTCTCTCTCTCTCTCTCTCTCTCTCTCTCTCTCTCTCTCTCTCTCTCTCTCTCTCTCTCTCTCTCTCTCTCTCT